TCTCACTTCCGTCGAAAATTTTTCAAATAACTAGTATTTAAAATATTTTATGCATTTTTCAAACGAGCTACCCAACATTTTTTTGCAGGTTATGGTTGCAATTTTATTTAAAGAAATTTTAAAATTTCAAACTGCTCCGGAAATAAAAACCTTTTTTGTATTATAATATAAATTATCAACTACTATTATATGTAGGACAGTAGATATACTTATGTATGACAGTATTATATAGGACAATAAACAGTACTTTCTCTTAAATTTGTGTTTTGGGAACAAGAATTTGTTTAAATTGAATTTATTGTGAATGACTTCCATTTTTTATAAGGTATACATGAACAAATCCAAGTATGAATGTTAATATACGTTATAAATAAAGTATAAATCATATTTAATCATATTTTTGGGATTAATCGTGTTGGATCCTACATAATGCATACTATGAATGTATAATATAAATAATCTAAGAAAGTTGAATTAAATGCACGACGTGAGTATATGAAAAAAAATTGTGAAAACTTTCACTTGTTTTTAAAGTACTTCCCAGAATTTTCACCAATAAATCTATTTTGAATTTTTTTAAATTTTGTAAAACGTATAAAGTAAGGTAAACATTATGTATATGGGTATGTAGGTGTTACAATTTTTTACATTTACGGTATTCAATACTGAGCTGCTAATAATTTAAAGTTCTCATATTTTTAGATCAGCACCACAATTTTTTTACTCTCCTTGTAATTTCGTAGATTTTTCAAAACATTGTAATATAGAAAATATAAAAAATATCTTATGTATTTTTAAATTATATTGCATATTGTATACCCTATGCTCCATACATATACATATACACCATATTTATATAAAATATACATTCTCACCAATACAAAAGATCAAAATTTTATATAAAGTGATAAGGCAAGTTCAGTCAACTTCATTTAATTTTTTATATTGTATGCATGAGAAGAAGTAACAAAGAAACATACAATCATAATAATATCCGAATCAAGAAAAAAAAAGAGAAGAGCAATGAAGAAAAAACAAAACAAATACAAACAAACGGAAAAATTCATACAAAAAAAAATTCTTTTACCGTTATTTTTTTAATGATAATGAAAAGCCGCGAATTAGCACTCAAAATAATGGTAGGTTCAAAGTAACACAAAAAAAAAACAAACGAGAGCAAAAACAAGAGCAAAAATCAAAAGAAGAACAAGAAAATTGAGAAAAAAATTTTTTTTTTTGTTAAATCTTGTTAAATTTTTTTCTCTTTTTGTTCTGCTTTTTTTTTTTATAACCGTGAAGGATTTTTTCTCATATTGTGTAGCTAACTGAGTTTATTTTTAGTACGTAGGGTTTAATTTTTACGAATATTAAAGTACATATACAATAAGTGAACAAAAATACGCGCGAAAGAAAAGCAAAAAAGAGAAAAAAAAAAATTTTTCCAGTACCACACTGATTTTCATCTATTCAAAATTGTTGTTGTTTTTACCACCCCATATACATTTTATTTTTATTTATTTTATTCATTCACCTAATTTAAAATATATTGGCATCTTGTATACATATTACTTACATAAAAAGTTAACATAATATGGTTTACATATAAGGATAAAACGACATTTTATTAAATATTAACAAACTGTTGAATTTTAATTTGAAATGAAACGCAACCTATTAAAGTGTGTAAACTTTTTCTCTCTTTCTTTTCTCTCACTTATATTTTTTATATATATTATGTATACATACATACATAACTGTTCATTTAAGGTAAATTTCATTTTATATTCTTCTTAATGGAATTGACACAGAATCACAAAAAATTTAAAATGGAATTACAACAAAGATGAGAAAATTTATAATTGGATGTTCTATACATTCAAATTACATGTATATATATATATGTATGTTATGTATATATGCATGTACGAATAAATTGTGATTTAAAAAAAAAACCAGTACGTACTACAATATTAATGTTATCTATGCCAGTTACAGTTCACTTACATTATATAACATGCATCGATAGCAATAGCAATATCAGCAGTAGAGGAAAATAGTGTAGAATAGCTAAAAAGTATGTCACTATTTCTCTTAAAAGAAATAGAAATTAGAGAAGAGAGGGGAGAGAGAAATATTAATTATATTTGAAATGAAATTACTTTTTGTATTTATCTAAAGTGAAAGTACTACTACAACTACTACTACTAATATCTACTCTCCTTTCAATTTCAATTGAGGTCTAACTATAAAATTAACAAAAATTTTTGTTGAATGTGTTAGTTAAAATTCTTTGATTTATATTGCATATTTTGTTACATGTTTTGTATCTACATAATATAGAGTTTATTACGAGTAATATTCTTATTTTGTGAATTTTTAAATATAATTGGAACACTTATAGCTTTTAGATTGTGAAAAATTTTGTTGAAAGTGAAAATTGGGGCATACTCTACACACTTATTGATAAGGCTGAATGCATTATTTTGTGTACATTCGCGTCAATATATTTCATTCGATTCAGTGACTTTATTAATAATATCTTTGAGTTAGAGTGAATTAATTATAAGGAATTGAATGCACTAAAAGAGAAATTTTAAAACTAAATTTAATTGATTAGATAACAGAACTTTTAAGGTCAGAAAAGTTTCTTGTTTTAACTCCAACTTCTAACAAAATGCAATCGATTTCTGGTAAAGACTCCTTTCTCTAAATATTTGTTTATTAACAAACGTCAATACAGCAAGCCGTCAATGCAGCGAGGCATCAATGTAGCGAACCGTAAATATCTGGGCGGCTATAACAATCTAAATAGTGTTACGTACAATTCTGGAGTAATTTTAGTGATTTATCTGTGCACAGTTTTTTAAAAAACTTCTCCAATTTATGTATGAAATTATTTTCGTATTCGTTGTAACGTTCTGGTATTTGAGATCTTTACAGAGAGTTACGCTCTTTATTGAAATTTCTTTGCGGTTCACATTTCATCCGCGATTTGATATTAAAATGGAACTAGGTTATTTCCATAATGAAAAGTCAAAATTCTTGTTCTGAATTTCATTTTTCTAAATAATAAAATCTTTTTTTTATTTCATATTATTTTTAATAGTTTATAGTATGTAAACATAAAGCAAAAAATTTATACTCAAAATCAAGGTCCTGTAAGTGTTCAAAAATATGTTACGCACAGTATAAAAACTACAATTTTTTTTTGTTTGTATATTTTTGCGTATTATGAGATTTTATAACATTACATAACATAAATTTTTATATAAATAAAATTTTTATATAAAAGTAAGTGCGAATATCCTTAAAATCTGTGGTAAGGTCACAAAGATCCTTTACGGTTATAATAAGTAATTATTTGACATAAAAGCGGAAATAAAAGTAACAAAAAAAAAATTTATTTGCTTTGTTTAGGATTTATTCCCCTATTAAATTTTACTTTAAATTTGTATTGCGTATTTTTAGTATAAAGAGGCTCATTGAATGTAAAGGTAAAAATATTTTTTTTTTGCAATTTACATAAAAGTTACACAAGTGCTCTGAGTCTTTTTAACTGGTGCTTATTTAAGTAAAAGAAGAAAAATGTGTAAATTTATTGGTTTTATGATTTAAAGGGTTGCACTTTATTTTCACATTATTTTAATTAAACGAAAATTGTGTTTGCAATAAAAATAAATTAATTTGAAAATAAATTTTGTGCTTTACGATGTGAGAATAATGGCAAAGTAGTAAATAATCGATAAAGAGTTATGAAAATAAAGCGAAAGATTTTAAATTTATTGCACGATTACACAGAGATGGAATTGTTTTCCACTGTTTCATATACAATCACCGATTAATATCAAAGTGATTTATTAAATTATTATAAAATCAGAATGAAATTTTTAACATTTATTGTGTAAATTTCTAACACGAAATATATATGCACAGATGCTATTAACATTGGTGGAATCTGTAACTTCTTAGTGATCACGAAAAACACTTAGAAATGTCCTATCTCTTCTAGTTTATCCTTAGACTTTGCGCATCCTATACTTGCCTACATCATCCCTAGTGCACAATACCAAATTACTCCTGTTGCGCCGTTGCTTTATATTTTCATCCTCGTCGGGCCACCCAATCATAACATTTCGACAAACCGCGAGAAGACTCTGGTCTAATATTAGTTTTACCTTAGCTCATCATTACTATAAATACTTACCAAAAGGACCAATGCCAGAACGAATTTAACGTTTCCTAAATTTTATTAGTATTAATTTTCATATTCTTACACCAGAATCGATTTGATTTTAAGTGACTTGAAAATTAATTTATACAAATCCTGGAGAATATCATTCCAATTTTAATATTTCCGAGTATTAATATTACAATATCAATTTTTGGTATTATAGCAAGCAGTTTAATTAAAAATTAATGGGAACATGAAAGTTTTCATGAAATATTTGAATTTTAAACTAGCATTTAAAAACTACATTTTAATGCTGTTGAATAAGAGTGTATATGACTTAGACTTTCATAATAAAATATTAGAAATTAATATATTAAAAGTATTTAGGAGCTTCTTTAATATTCACTACCATTTATGTTATCGCCTACACACATAGATCTCCTAACAAATTTTCATAAAAATTCCTAAAAGATTTTCGTTTATTCAACACGACTTAAGGTATGCCCTAATACTAGACTTACGTTATCTTATCCTTGTATATAAAGCTTATATTTTTATCTACAAAATTACGATTTTGACTCCACGTTATTATGACTTACACGAGGAGTTTATCATAAAATCTGTATAAATTACTTTGTTTTTTGTTCCTTAAATGTCCTTCTTATAGCAAATATTATGCTCAAATTCAACTTTTTCTTGATACTTAAATATTATGAAAAATTATTCAAAAAAAAAAAGAAAAATAAATATCGCCTTCATTTTTATTTTATAAAAATTCTAACATATAATTTTGTATTCTTTTGTTTTTTTTTTTATCATAATAATCCAGGTGGCGTGGATGCATTTTGAACAATCAGCAATATTAACAGTACACAATCACGTAATAACACGTAATCCAAGAATTAGTGTTACACATGATAAACATGATAAACATCGTACATGGTTCCTGCATATCAATAATGTCCAAGAAGAGGATGAAGGTCGTTATATGTGCCAAATAAATACAATAACAGCAAAAACTCAATTTGGATTTGTTCGTGTTGTTGGTAAGTTTTAATTTTTTTTTTTTGTTTTTATGCTTATTTTTAGAATAAATTTTCTATTTTCTTGTTGTTTTGTTATTATTTTTCTAATCTCTATATAAATCGAAAAGGATATTCTTCAGGAATTTTCCAGTAAGATGAATTAAATGACAATGTGTTATGCATTAAATAGTATTCTTTCTCTCTCTCTATTTTTTCTCCTTTTCTTTTTTAAAAGATTAATGCAAGAGAGTTTGTCATTTTATTCACTCATACATAAGAAATCATAAATTATATGAAATATGAGAATCATTATTCAAAAATATTCTTACTGTGTGATCGAAAATTGAGAATAAAACTGTAAATGGGGGAAATGAGTGGGGGAATGGAATATTTGTATTAATTACGTGAGTCTTTGTTTTAATTGAAATAAAAAGAAATTATGTGACTAGCAATTAATTTCTCCGATTAAGTCCAATTATAACATAATTGTGAAATATTTTTGTATTGAAACTTTGTATTGCACTTCAATTTTCATCTATAGAAATATTTCCTCTCTCAGGAACCTTACTTTTATTTAAATATTATTCTTACTCGTTTTGTTCTGCTATCTAATTTTCCAAAACGTTTTCAGTATTCAAATAAAATCTGCATAAGAATATTGTTTAAAAACCAAGGGAAAATCCAGCTAAGATCATAAAATTATCTTATATTTCATTTCACCACATGATTAACTTAGAATGATGCTTCTTTTCCGAATAAAATAAGTTCTTATTTACAAAATATTATGCTAAATGTATAACAGAAATGAAACCAATTAAACTGAAAATAAAACAGAAAAGTTAAAGTTTTCTATACCACTTCTCTCTCTCTACCTCTCCCTTTCTCTCCCTGTTTACTTTCTTCTATGACTTTTCGTAACGTACACCCTTTTTAATAGGATTAATGCTTGTTTTAATAAAAGAGAGAATTTCTTAATAATCCAATTTTAATCATTACAATATACACAAGGGACAAAAACAGGACATTTTATTATTAAGAATAACTTTTGCCTATTTATTAGTTTAATATTAAACTATATATTCTTATATAAACATAAGTTGTTTTCACGGATATTATATAGGGTAATTCAGAAAGTGAAACAACAACATATACCATTGGTTAGAAGATCGAAAATGGGAAAAGCTTTTGTACCAGACTCTGGCACCCATTCCGGAACAAAAGTTTTACCCATTTTCGATTTTCTAACCAATGATATATGTTGTTGTATAACTTTCTGAATCACCCTGTATTAATATATATAATTATGGATTTTTATACATAAAGTGATTAATTTTTCCGAGAAAAAGCGGACAATGGTGACGAATAAGAAAATCATTATCAATAAAATTTTATTTATTTTTATGATAATAATGTATATACAGAGTGTTCCAATTCTATTTTTCTATGAAACTTATCCAATAAATTCCAAATATTTTGTTTTAAATTTAATTACGTTCTTGTTTTAAATTTCGAATAAAATATTCGTTTCGTTAGGAACTTCACTAGGAAAATTATTCTGTTTTAAAAATTTAAATTTTCCTTCAAAATTGTAAAGCCATTCGATTCCGAATTTTTAAATGTTAAAAAAAGTAGTCAAAAACACTCCAGTTGGCTCCAGTATCTCTTAACAATTTTAAACTATGAATATTAGTTCCATGAGTTGTGCCTAAAAAGTTTACCTATAATTAATAAATGCTTTATACCACGATCTGTACTTAAAAACGGCACACCCTGTATAATAATGTAAGGCAAAATTATCGAATAAGAAAATAATATTATAATGGCACAGTTATTCGATTAACTGAATCGGAACATTAAAAGAGATTTCAAAAAAAAAAAGAACAAAAATAAAAAGGAAAACACAAAAGAAAAAAACAGTTAAAGTTCTAAAAAAGTTTTCATTTCTGAACATTAAAAGTTGACTGTCTCTTGGGGTACACAACAAAAAAAAAACCGAAACAAAACCAAGTTAAAATGAAAAACTGAGACTCCCAAATGTAATTTGTATTTATTAAAAAGGATTAATTTTTTTTTTCTATTTTTTTTTATTTTTGTTCTTAGATTTTTGTTTGCTAATTTATTGTTTATTAAGAATATCCTTTTAAATGAGGAGTCAGTCTGGATTTTTTATTATTTTTTGTTTTTGTTGTTTTATTGTTAATTTAATGGATCAGAACCACCGAATAATATAAATGAGTGTTTAGAAGTTAATTTTTGCGGTAACCTAAAATGTTTTGGCAAAATGAAAATAATTGATCCTTTTTTCTGCTAATTTGTGGAAAGAATGAAAGAAAAAAAAAAAGAGTTTAAAGAAAATAATTTTGTAAAGATCGACACCATATCAATCGAGTTTATGTTTTAGAAATAAATACGTGGAAAATAATTAGTTCCTACAATTATCGTAAATTATACAATTTATGCATTTCATTCGGAACGTTTTCATAAACATTTAAAATTTTCATATTTTCATAATTCAGACTTTGAATTCGAACTCTCTGCAATTGAATATTTTTTATTTCTAAATAATAAAGAAGGAATTATACATTCTCCAAACGAGCTCATATATTTCAGCCATAGCTCTTTAAATTCTATTTGTATCTAGCAACTAAAATCTTGCTTAAATCCACATTTCTAATTCAAAAACTCAATAATACAAATTCCGAAACAACTGCAGTAAATTCTATGGTAAATGCGCGCTAATGTGTTATTCTAGTTAGAGACAAATGGTCAAGTTATTAGTAGGATTCATTCAATTATGCACTTAAGGGTTTGTTTTATATAATAAGCTATCATTCACCAATCACTACAACTATGTGGTTGGTAAGACAACCTCTATGTTGGGATTTATTAAACGCCAGTCAAAGGAGTTTAATGACCCCTATATTTTGAAGTTATATTTTTCTCTGGTTCATCCCCGTCTGGTATATGACTCACAAGTTTGATAGTCTTTTTACAATATTCATATTAATAATCCTATTACAATATTCATATTAATTCGGATTAAGTCGGTTCAGAAGAATTTTTTTCCGATTTGCGCTTCGTCACCTTCCTTGAAAGGATCCTATTTTTCTTCCTCCTTATGAGGACAGGCTAAAATTGATTGGCTTACCCATTTTAAGTAAAAGACGTGATGTCACGAATGTGATATTGATTTTTCAACTTAAATCTTATTTGGTTTCTCACGATAATTTTAATAAGATCGTCATGTCTAATTCTAATGTTTAGTCTCGTTCTCCTGATTTCTTTCATAGAAACTATCCAATATCTTGCATGGAATTTAAATGCTCGTCCGAAAAAATTTGTAAATTTAATATAAAAAAATCACTTCAGTTTTCAATTTCAACCTTAATTCATTATCTTCTTGAGTTATTTGCTATGACCCTGTAATAGAAATGAAATAATGCTGCAGGTAACTTGTCTACTTACTTATCATAAAGACTAGACAATTAATCATAATATGCTAGATTAAATTCTTTTTCCAGTTTATGAGTTTTTCTTAAGAATTATTTTAGTCTGGCCCATTACGAGTATTTTGTTATAATAGAAAAGAAACTTTAACAAATTTGATTGATATGAAAAATGTTTTGCAATTTAAACTGATTATTCTTTTAAATTTCTAATTTGAAATTTTTAATAAATTCGATTCAAATCTGAACTCAAAAAGTTTGGAGTGAAAACTTTCTTGGAAATAAAATTGGAGCTTTTTCATTCACATTTGTAAATGGCTAAGATTACTGATAAGTCAAAGAATAATAATTTTACTAAGTCTTCATAATTTTTTTATTTTTATAATCAAAAGAATAAAATTTAAAATCATTAGACGTTGTATTGCTGAAGTCCTAGAGGAAAATCAGATCAATTATTATTTTTTTCTATAAAACTTCGTTCTTTCATTCAATACTCAACTAATTCAAAAATCCCATCTCATAATTTTGTGGGCATTAATTGCATGCCATATCTTTAATTAGTTTAACATTCCACTTTACTCGTAAATACTTCAACATTTTTATTAGAAAACAACTTAACTTTTGAATCAAAAATTTTATCATTTGTTTTAAATAAAATCTTTGTCAATTTAATAAAATTTCTCGTATTTAAAAGAAATAATCTTTTTAAATGAGGTCAATTTTATTAAAGAACAAAAGCCATTTTGTTTTCGTTTTTTTTTGTTTTCTGTTGAATTTAATTTGAATAAATTTTTTAATATTTCTTTTACAACAAAAACTTTTATGTGAAATAAGTACTTTAAAAATTTAATAAAAAAAATCATTTAATAAAACATAAAAAAGAAATTTAAGAAATACGAAAAAATTTCAATATATAATTTTTAAATTTTTGAATGTCCTTGATGATAAGGACTTAAATGTAAAAAAAAAATAAATGAAAAACAAAGAGATTGTTTTGACGACCATGTTGTCAACAAGTAAAATTAAGTATTGCGAGGTTTTTCATTTAATTTTCTTGTTTTTTTTCTCCATATTATTATTTTTTATTGTTCTTTAAGAATGCTGGAACGACGACAGTATTGTTATTGAGTTTCTTTTTAAATGATTATATCCTAGATACTATAGAATATGAATAAAAGTAATAATAAACTGAAATAATATAAAAATGTTAAAATTTTCCCGACCAGTGCTATTGAACATTTTCTAGGGTCTTAACAATTATATCTGACTAACTATTTACTTATAGCTTGTTAAAAATGATTTACTACAACCCCGTACCGCCAATTTTGTCCTCAATTTATTTTACTTTCTAATTTGAAATGTTTGCATTTTATTCCATTAGTCTCCTTCGTAGGCATCTCTAGAAAGAGAGTGAGGAAAAAAGAGAAAAATTGTATTTATAGCGAATATTTCATCCCGTTATAAAATGCAAAGCACAAGATACGCATACTTTGAATATTATAAAAAAAAAGCTTAAGTTTATACGAAAAATTTTCGATAATATTTAATTTGCTACGGGTAATTATAAAAGCTTTA